TATGAAATGTCGATAGACGACACAGTCATAGAGCCGACAGAGGTTGACAACTGGCCGAAAGTCTCCCGACTTTTTTCGGACCAGGATGATGTTGCCGTAGAAGCCCCAATCGTCCGGGGCGATTGGACCGTGCCTTTGGCGAATAGAGGGCGAATCTCTTCTTCTATGAAGAGTCCGTGTTCTCTTGAAACATGCAGCAGAGGTGGTCGGGCGGTTTGTATGGGTTGGGAGTGGAACTCGATGGTATAGCCCTGGACCATCTGCAGGATCCAAGCGTCTGCCGTGATCTCCAGTCAGTTCTGTAGGATATAAGGAGGACGATTGTGAATAGGATCTGGGTCCAGTGGACCAAAATCGGCTGGTGGCTCAGCCCCTTTCCCGACCAACCCTCCCAAAAACACCCCTGCCGGGTGGTGGTCTAAAACCATGCTTGAGTGAAGGTTGGGCTTTCTTCAGCGTTGTGAACAGGTTGACCTGTAGATTAAACTCTGCTATAAAAGGCTCACTGAATAGGAGTCCCTTTGCCAAGGGTCCCAGTTCTTTGGAGCCCAATTTCAAGAGTGTTGAGTCCATCCTCAACAGTGCTGTCTTGCATCTCACTGTACAGAGGATCGCATTGGCGTTACCCAGCATGCAGATAGAACGCTGGGCCCATTTGCGGAAGTCACTTGCGTCCAACTGCGTGCCCTGTGAGAGGGCCAGATCCACAAAGAATAGGATCTTAGCCAATGGGCCTAGTAGATCCAATGGCTTGTCTTGTGCCGACTTCTCGATGCCCTTCCTGGGGTCTCTGCCAGCCCAGGACATGAAAACCACTACCATGGTGTCAAATACTGGAGTGATAGTCACCTTGTCAGGGAGGAGGAGAGGGCGGGGGAATTCCGTTCGTAGGCGTGCCCACACTTCTTTGTCCAGTGGCTTGCGGAGACAATAATTGACGAATTGTGCCAGATAATCTGGCATTGTCCATATCGACGACCTGGGGTGTCGTATTTTGCATGGATTGAACGTGGGTAACCATATTTCGTCCAGAAAGCCCTTCCTCCGATGGTCTTGGGTGGAGGTGTGCAGGTACCCTTTTCTTTAGGTGTATGAAAGGGGGTTTCCCTTAAGTGAATAGGAGATGTGGTAGTCTCAGAATCATGGGGTGAGCCCTAGCTTTATTCCCAGTCCGGGGTGATATTGAGATGTTAACCTCGTAATTGTTGCCAAGGTGACGTATCTTCGAGGGGTTCACTCCAGTTATACATCAAAGCTGTACCACGGTGGTCAGCAATATTAAAATTGTGTACACAACATGTGTGATAGTTCTGTATGGTGTGATAATGTATCTCCAGACAACATAAAGGATGTGGGAGATCCCTGTAGGGAATCTGTGAGGATATCTGGGGCTTACCCCAGGTGGTGTGCCATGAGAACCAGAGGACACTCACATATGGCAAATAATGTAATCAAAAAGGCACATTGTATATGGCTGTTAAGCCCAACAAGGTCCCACATAGTGATTACACCTCAGTGTTTGTCAATTTCTGTTGTGTCAGCAAGCAGCATGTATTGTATAACTTGTAGTAGGTACCTTAACTGCGGATGAGAATCAGCACTGCAGTCTCCAGTGGGTGGCACAGTGTATTTGTTCTCAATAAATTCCCACATAGCAATCAACACTGCAGTCTCAGATACAGCTTAAAGGTAAGTATATTTAATCCAGATCAAGGTAATAATTGATCTGGAAGGAAAAAAAGAAATGGGCGACGTGAATCTTGCAAGATTCAAGTTGGCCGCCACGCGTGCAAGGACGGATGCGATTCGCGCGAGGGGCCTGGCAGTCCCAGGCTCCAGGAAAGAAGGAACAGGCCTTAAAGAGGGTTGTGAAAAGCAAGTAAAAAGGGGAAACAAGTATTGGCAGAATGGTTGTGGGGACAAGCTAACAAAAACAGCAGGGTAAATACCTATATAATACAAATACACACAATGAGAGAATACAACCTATAAATCAGCTTGTAAAAATCCAGGTGTGCCTAATGCAACACACAGAGCTGAGGGAGTCTGACTTGTGGTGGGTTGCTCAAAAACTGGACAGAGACAGGAATTCACCCAATACCTGTCCAGACTAGTGTAATTCAAAAGGGATAACACCTTGATTTGGTGTAAAATATCCAGGAGCTGTTTTGCCCACATATGGCTATTGTGTATATAATTATACCAAATATGTTACAGAAAAAAGTCCAAATATTTAGAGATTTATTACTGTATTACTCTCTCTTAATATAACATATTTGGTATAATTATATACACAATAGCCATATGTGGGCAAAACAGCTCCTGGATATTTTACACCAAATCAAGGTGTTATCCCTTTTGAATTACTATAAATCAGCTTACCTAATAAAACAGTCTTCAAACTACAGAAAGATAATCCGCTAATAAAGTAATCTTAATACCACACAATACAGAATTATTCAGACAAGTAACAGTAACCAGTCACAAGGACAAAATACCCTGACCTGTGCATTGCTGGAGCAGCAAAGAAAGAGGACGTGATGTGTGTGACGGGTCCTTTTCTATAACATTGAAGTGTTTTCTGATTGGTTGTTCTCTTATGATCTGTGCTGCTGGGAGCTTCAGTAAAGAGAGTTATGCAAATATGAAGTCTCCTCCCTCCATGTAAGACACACAGGAAACCCTTTGGGGTATTCCACTAAACTAAATTATGAAGAATGGATAGAAAATGATTATTTGTTTTGGCTAAAATAGCTGAGCTGGTAAAAAGAAAAATGAATGGAAGATTTTTCCCAATTTTACTATTTTGGCCTGAAATGAAGAGTTCTCTCACGAAATCCTATTTTCATGAATAAATCTGCTGTTCAGGCAGTTTTTAGCTGCTATGTGTGTTGTGTGTGTGTGTGTGTAGTGTGTATATATATATATATATATATATATATATATATATATATATATATATATATATGTATGTGTGTGTTTGGGTTTTTAGAAGGCGTGATCCTCTTAAGGTAACATAAAATTTTTTTTTCAGGGTGAAGATGATTTTACCTGTGTCATCGCCTTCTTCCTGGGAACTGCTGCCTGCATGTACCAGGTGAGCCTGGTTAACCCTTCCTTCCCTGCGGTGTAACAAGCCTCGGTTTAGTTCATACTGTGATATCCCAGGATCTTGTTTGACTCGTATTCTACGAATTCTGTTCCTTTCCTGTGATAGTTTTTATTGTAGAAATTACATTTCTCTAAAGTTAGCCTATCATCTATAAACTTGATTGAAATGGTCTAGATCAGTGTTCATTTTGACGGCAAAATTCAATTTAGTTTTAGTCGTGTTTTAGTCATCTGAATTGTTTTCATTTTAGTCGTGTTTTAGTCTACTAAAATTGTTAGTCGACAAAATTAACACTAGTCTAGATTTGGCTTGTAAGATATTAAACGAACACGTTAAACGTAACATTATTAACCCTTCATGTTACAAACATTTCCCAGCATGCTTCTTGACCATTGTTCGTGACTGGCTGCTGGTTATGTGTCTGGGAGGTCTCCAGATCATTTCATTTTGGTATGAAATTTAGATAAGAACCCAAAAGGCTGAACTGAGTGACAAAGTGTGAGCTCTCATGTCATGTAATTTACATTGACTTATTTCCTGTGTGTTCTGCTAGTATAATTATCATCCGTGTTATGTTCAGGATTTTACAAGTTTGTTTTTTGTCTGCTTGCAGTGCTATCTGTTTATCTACATCACAAGCTGGAGAATCGTCAAGTCTTTCCTGGCCTTTGGACTGATCTGCCTGTGTAACATGTACCTCTATGAGCTTCGCAATATATGGCAGCTCTTATTCCACGTTACCGTCAGTGCGTTCACTACGCTTCACATTCGGCTACGTCAGCCGCTGGACAAGTCTCCTGATTACAACGTCTGATGGGAGTTCTTGGCAAATCATTCCCAGCTTATACTGTCACAAGGGGGGAAGGAATCTTATCCCATTCGGGATGCTTTATATTCCATTCACCTGCACTTTCCAGAGCTAATTCTGAATCCCAGTTATTACGGAGATCGGCGGCACACTTGGAAACACAGATGGGTTTTTATTTTCTGTTATTGCCTTTGTAAGGCAGTGATGTTGTGAATTATTAATAAAACTTAACAGACTGTCCTCTACTGAGCAGGATAATGTCTTCCTCATCGTATTGTCCTGTAATGTCTGTGTGACTCAAGCAGTGCACATTGATAGATTAGTATTTTGTCCGTCAGTATTTGCCTTCAGTAAGTTCTAATGATCCTTGGTGCTTTGTCAGTCTGACTCCAGGGTTTATGGGGCTATGAGTTTATTTTCGTCATGATCTTGCTTATTGGTGAACCAAATTATTAAGTAACATTTCTGTAGAAGATGTAAAGAGAAGAGAAGGTTCCTTAATCCAATGAGACCTTGTGCTGTAAACTTTCTTTGAAGAAATTACTGTCCCTTTATGGCATGTCCTACATTTGAACTTGCTCATGCATGTCCACACCTGTGCATGTTATGACTCTCCCCAAATCTGTGCAAGGCTGATCTCTGCCACGGAAAGTGTGTCTCAACTCTTATCATGTTTGCAGGTCTCGTCTCGCACCACGTCCGTGCATGTATCTCTCAACTTGCACCACGTATGCATGTATGTCGCAATTTGCAAGTCGTGCGTGGCCCTATTTTACCTACATTGTGCATTGCTTGAATATGTATCACCATGTGACATTTCATATTTGATGATAAATTGGAAATACATTGATTTACAATTAGTAGGGTTTTAAGGAAAAAGTTATTTTGTGGAAGATGCCTTTTTTACACGAAACGTAAAAAAATGTATAGCTAAATTATGTTTTATGTTTAAAGGATCACTATAGGGTCAGGAATACATTGAGGTGGCTTGCCCCTCCTTAGCCCCCCTATAAAAATATAAAACTCACCTTATTTCCAGCGTCGCACGGGTCTGCTGGCTCTGGCTCTGCCCCCTTTGTGATATCATCGAAATCGGTACGGGGGCGGGGCCAAATGCTGTTTTGGCCAATCAGGACCACCTCATAGAGATGAATTGAATCAGTGCATCTTTATGAGGAAAACTCAGTGTCTCCATGTAGAGCGTGGGGACGCGGAATGGCAGGGCACAAACGAAGGTTAACTGTTTGCTTCCCACAGAAATCCCACAACTAAGGCAGGTTTTTGCCCCTGAGGAAAGATGTCCTTGTTTATTTCTACAGTATGTATGGAATAAAGTAATCAATCCATTTCTACAATCAGTAAATCAATTCCTACAGAAATATTTATTTAAAATCAATTTAGAATTTCCAGAAGTGTAAAAAAAGAGATTTCCCTAAAACCATATTTTAATCTGTGATCACACGTGTGAAATGACAGTAATGTGTTATTTCCGTATAAATAATGGAGCAAATTCTAACAGAGTGTTATGTGTAAAACGGTTTCCATGTATCCGCCAGCAATATGTAGCAAGTGACGCTGGGAGCAAAATGGCAAAGTGATTGAATTGTTTTGGAATTTTGTTGCAACTTCTCTTCTTTGCACAATATTATCATCATTTTATAAGAATCGTGAGACACAGAATCTAGTAAGAACGTACCCGTCCTTGGGTAGTTCTGTTATTACTGTAAGTATTTCTGTATTGCAATAATAACAGGTAGGTTTGCAGACGTAGCACACAGACATGCCTCTCCATGTTTCAGTTGCAGAGAATTAAAAATCAAATTGCAAGATTTCGAGAAAATGCTGATTGGGAAAAATGTTTCCGCTCAACAACTCAACAATTCAGCTTAGCTTCGCCCATCGGTTTTTGATTTACTACAATTCACTTGTGTCATTTTCTAGGAATTCAAAGTAAACGGTTTAGGTCAGAATTGCTGTATGAATTGTAAACATAAGGACTTGGAGAATTTTCCTATTTCGTCTGTTTTGGCCTTACATTTGTTTCTGACAGTGATATAAGCAGTGACAGAAATACATAATGTGTTATCAAGTACCTAATACAGGCTGGGGCCACGCATTGCTTTCAGAACGACTTCAGAAAAAAAGCGTATAGCGGGCACTGCGGTACTGGTTATCAGAGTGATGGAGGAGGGGGACATCTCCTTTACATCAATATCTATAGCAAGAAATGTGTGAGATCTACAGAGAGTTCTCAGGGCCCTGCCAACCTAGGAAAACATGAATGGGGAATGCATTGTTTGACTAACAGAGAATTGCGGTTAGTGGATGAAGGTGGAAATTTGAGCGAAGTTTGAGGACTCCATACAATAGTGACAGTATGCCCGTAAATAGTGATAGCATGTCAGTACAATAGTGACAGTATGCCGTAAATAGTGACAGTATGCCCGTAAATAGTGATAGCATGTCAGTATAGTAGTGACTGCATGCCCGTACAATAGTGATGGCATGCCTGTACAGTAGTGATAGTATGACGATACAATAGTGATACACTTACAATAACCATAAACGTGCGAGAAGAACTGGCATGATTGTAGGTATTGCTACATCTAACTCGAGTCCTTATTGTTGGACATAATTTGCTTCATAAATTCAGCTTGGAATTTTACACAATACAACACGGCAGCTCTTTCAATATAATGGATATATTTTACCCGCTGATCTGTAAATATATTGTAATTATTAAAGAGGACTGTAAGTGGTGTGCGATGCGTCACTATGTGCGTATTGCGGAGCTATATCTCACATGGTGGCTGATGGGAGCATGAAGCCCAATTATCTACAACAGAACACATTCATTGGACCAGGGGGCTTGCACTGCTTTGATGGCTGCAGCTTTGTCATCACTTTTTGTGTGGAACAAATCTAACTATTGTTACATAAGCATTGAAACACTGTGATGACCAATACAAAGAGGTGTCTGATGCAAGCAGCAAGAGAACAACTGGACCTGTATGGAATCTGCGGCTTTATATAGCAAAGTACATGCTGGGTCACTATGGTCATTGTACGCAGGAAAGGCTGGGAAACTACATTTCAGGACAAATGTCATTCTTGGTTTAGTGAATCTATAGTAAGCAGCCATTGTGTTATTTAGCATGTACCTTAACGGGGCAATATCCCGAGCAGATAGCACACATTGCAAACCTGGACAAACTTTTTTACTGCTCGTTACCGGTAATTAAGCATTCAGGGTAACCTGCTACACTATGTCTGAATACTGTCTATTAATAGCTGGAAAACTAATTTGGGAAATTGTGTCAAGAGCTAGATCCAGTTTATAATCTGTGTACAGTGACTGAGCGTTTATAATCTGTATATAGTGACTGTTTATAATCTGTATATAGTGACTGTTTAGAATCTGTATACAGTGACTGAGCGTTTATAATCTGTATATAATGACTTTATAATCTGTATACAGTGACTGTTTATAATCTGTATATAGTGACTGAGCGTTTGTAACCTGTATATAGTGACTGTTTATAATCTGTATATATAGTGACTGTTTAGAATCTGTATACAGTGACTGAGCGTTTATAATCTGTATATAATTACTTTATAATCTGTATATAGTGACTTTATAATCTGTATACAGTGACTGAGCGTTTATAACCTGTATATAGTGACTGTTTATAATCTGTATACAGTGACTGAGCGTTTATAACCTGTATATAGTGACTGAGCGTTTATAATCTGTATACAGTGACTGAGCGTTTATAATCTGTATATAGTGACTTTATAATCTGTATATAGTGACTTTATAATCTGTATACAGTGACTGAGCGTTTATAACCTGTATATAGTGACTGTTTATAATCTGTATACAGTGACTGAGCGTTTATAACCTGTATATAGTGACTGAGCGTTTATAATCTGTATACAGTGACTGAGCGTTTATAATCTGTATATAGTGACTTTATAATCTGTATATAATGACTTTATAATCTGTATATAGTGACTTTATAATCTGTATACAGTGACTGTTTATAATCTGTATATAGTGACTGAGCATTTGTAACCTGTATATAGTGACTGTTTATAATCTGTATATATAGTGACTGTTTAGAATCTGTATACAGTGACTGAGCGTTTATAACCTGTATATAGTGACTGTTTATAATCTGTATACAGTGACTGAGCGTTTATAACCTGTATATAGTGACTGAGCGTTTATAATCTGTATACAGTGACTGAGCGTTTATAATCTGTATATAGTGACTTTATAATCTGTATATAGTGACTTTATAATCTGTATACAGTGACTGAGCGTTTATAACCTGTATATAGTGACTGTTTATAATCTGTATACAGTGACTGAGCGTTTATAACCTGTATATAGTGACTGAGCGTTTATAATCTGTATACAGTGACTGAGCGTTTATAATCTGTATATAGTGACTTTATAATCTGTATATAATGACTTTATAATCTGTATATAGTGACTTTATAATCTGTATACAGTGACTGTTTATAATCTGTATATAGTGACTGAGCATTTGTAACCTGTATATAGTGACTGTTTATAATCTGTATATATAGTGACTGTTTAGAATCTGTATACAGTGACTGAGCGTTTATAATCTGTATATAATGACTTTATAATCTGTATATAGTGACTTTATAATCTGTATACAGTGACTGAGCGTTTATAACCTGTATATAGTGACTGTTTATAATCTGTATACAGTGACTGAGCGTTTATAACCTGTATATAGTGACTGAGCGTTTATAATCTGTATACAGTGACTGAGCGTTTATAATCTGTATATAATGACTTTATAATCTGTATATAGTGACTTTATAATCTGTATACAGTGACTGTTTATAATCTGTATATAGTGACTGAGCATTTATAACCTGTATATAGTGACTGTTTATAATCTGTATATATAGTGACTGTTTAGAATCTGTATACAGTGACTGAGCGTTTGTAATCTGTATATAGTGACTGAGTGTTTATAACCTGTATACAGTGACTGAGCGTTTGTAATCTGTATATAGTGACTGAGTGTTTATAACCTGTATACAGTGACTGAGCGTTTGTAATCTGTATATAGTGACTGTTTATAATCTGTATATATAGTGACTGTTTATTATCTGTATATATATATATATATAGTGACTGTTTATAATCTGTATATATAGTGACTGTACACTATTTGTGGCAGAATCCTTTTAAAGGGTGTTTGGGTGTGTTTCCAATTAAACTGTTTTTATAGGACAAAACTAGATTTATAGAATTGAAGATTCCCATTAAATATTCCTTTCCAGGCTCACCTGAGCTCCTTGTATCCTCGTCCATTGAAAATCCTAATTCTTCTGACATTCAGTGCTATTTCTAATGTGAAACTAATGATGGACTGATGGAGAGATTGAAGTAAAACATATTGTTTCTGTGATATCAGTCTGAGGAAGTGTGAATTTATTTGTGTTATTGTTGTGTTTACCACAATAATGGGAGCTGCGAGGCCACACAATCTGTGACTGCAGACTCTCCTCCCATTCATCCAGTCCTGGTACAGAGCCGGGAAGGTCAAGGAATTTATAATGTTAATTTTAGCTTTATTTCTTTTGTAATCGCGTATTGTATGCAGCATTCGTCTGGTTGTTCGGTTAAAACACTCTGTTCAACATACGAACAAACAGACCTCCCCAGAGTGAATTGTGCCTCTCATTTACCTCCCGCATCTAAGTTCCAACCACATAAGTGGTAATTCAACTAAATGTATTATGTGTTCCCTGGGTGGCCGCCATTCAGCATACGAACACGTGGCAGCGGCCATCTTAACATACGAATGCTCAGCGGTGTTTGGTCTTTGTGTGTCTGAAACCCAAATCGGACACTCAACTACGCGAACACCGCCGAGACTTCCCACGAACAAGGGGATCCATATGAATCCAACCCCAGTCTATGTAACCCGGTACGTTCGTGTGTTTTATCCCTCTGAGACCGGCCGCAAGGCCAGAATGTATGGAGCTGATTTCGGCTACTACCTCCTGTACGGTCGGTCAAATAAATACATCCGTGTAACTCCCAAACCCCTGGTACGATCTGGGTGATTTTTGAGTATGTTGCTCACCCATAGCACGGATACCAGGGGATATAAGATTATGGGGTGTATCTCTGGTATTAGGGGTACATCCAGAAAGCGGGGAGAAATGTGTCCTGTATAATGGGATTATGTGTCATGCTGAGGGGAGGAGATGTGTGGGAGGTAACGTGTAAATGATTGGTTACTGTACTAATTACTGTGGGTATCTCCCTTGCATGGGAGAAATGCTTAAAAGCTGAGTATGTGGAATAAATCTTCAATTCTGCTCCTGATGCTGTGTGTCGTGCAGTCATTGGGAAAGGTGATGGATATTCTTGGATTACTTTACTAACTGTGGATATTATTCTCCTGGGTTTTACTACTTGTTCCTGAGCCTCACTTGGATTACCAGTGGAGATAGTCTGTGAGAGACCAGCTCTCCGCTACAGTGGCAACCACTGATGCTCTTTTTCCTTACACTCATATCACAGGCTTGGTGCGACTCTTTTTTTTTTTTTGTCAGTTCTGAAGCTTTGCATATGCTGCTTAGCTCCATTACCAGGAAACTCACTCATATCTGTATCTGTTACATATCTCCCAAGTGTCCTAGGAGGGACAGTTCCTATATTGCATATTGTTGGTGTGTCTGTGTGTATAACAGAGCTCCACAGCAATAATACTCCCAGTATTGTGTGTAATGGATCACCTGGCACCCTGACTGGGTACCTCCGTTGAAGGATGCTCCTAGCGCTTCCTGAGGGCTCCAAGCACTCCAGCAGACACCAAAACCACCGTAGACTCCTTCAGAAAGCAAGACAGGAACAAGCTCTTACAAGAGCTTAGCAGTGAATATAGCAAGAGAGTATGCAGAGCATAGCAATCCCTTGTAGCAGATTCCCCCAATAAGAGACGGCACTCCAAATTGAGGGTGAAGTACAACTGGCAGAGCTGTGGGTTTATTGTTCTTATATACACATTCTTACACATTAGTACCACCCACAGGGCTTTGTAAAACAACCAGTAAACATGTACAATACACTCAGACACTCCCTCACAAAATCCTCCCCTCTGCCTGTGATACAATTACCTTACACAATGGGTTAATGTAATTATCACAGGCAGGAAAATACACAGTTTTACACAATATTCATAACTTTAAAAGTATGCATCACATTACAGAATTAGCATACTCCAAATACCAACATATGTCAAAATCATACAAATTGGTCCAGTGGGTCAAAAGTTAGATCAACGTCCTTTGTGACCAAATCAAGCATGGCTTTTCTGCCCAAAATCAGTTCCACAGAG